TCTTCTTTCTTGAGGTGTCTGCTAAGGTCTCTGGCCCATTTTTCAACTGGGTTATTTTCTCACTGTTGAGTTTTAAGTCCTTTATATAGTTTGGTTAACAGTCCGTTATCAGATGTATCTTTTGCAAATGTTTTCTCCCAGTCTGTGCTTGTCTTCTCATCCTCTGAACATTTTTTGCAGAGTTTTTGATTTTAATGAAGTACAGTTTATTATTTTTTTCATAGATTGTGCTTTTGGTATAGTATCTAACAAGTCATAGTCATACCAAAGGTCATCTAGATTTTCTCCTGGGGGTTTTACAGTTTTGTGTTTTACATGTAGGTCTATGATCTATTTCAAGTTAATATTTGAGAAGGGTGTAAGGTCTGTGTCTAGATTCATTTTTTTGCATGTGGATATCCAGGTGTTCCATCACCTGGGAAGTGATGGGAAGACTTTTTTCCATTGTATTGTCCTTGCTCTTTGTCAAAGATCAGTTGACTACATGTGTGTGGGTCTATTTCTGGACTATCTATTCTGTACTATTGACCTACTTGTCCATTGTTTTGCCAAAATCACAGTGTCTTGATTATTGTTGTTTTATAGTAGATCTTGAAGTCAGGTTGTGTCAGGCCTCCATCTTGTTCCTTCCATCACTATTGTGTTGGCTATTCTGGGTCTTTTGCCTCTCCATATAAACTCTACCATCGGTTTGTTAGTATCCACAAAATAACTTGTTGGAATTTTGAGACTGCATGGAATCTGTAGATCAAATTGAGAAGTAACATCTTGACAATATTGAATCTTCCTGTTCATGAACGTGGATATGGAACATCTCTCTCTTTATCTTTTTAAATTTTTTTAATCAAAATTTTGTGCTTTTCCTCAAATAGATCTTATATTGTTACACTTATACCTAACATTTCATATTTTGGAGTACTAATGTAAACGGTATTGTGTTCTTAATTTTAAATTCTGAAAGGCGTTGCTTGAAAGATTTGCTTCTAACTTTTGGAAAAAGTCATTGATACACTTTCCCTCTACCATGATCTACCTCTACCTTTCCCTCTTGACACCCACTTTGCCAGTCTCATCATTGGTGCTCCCATTCTGATGAATAATGGCTTGCCTACGTTAAACTTCATTCCATTTCTGGAAGGTTCTTGAACTGATGTCTTCACACTATCACCTGAGCTTTTATTTTTTTTTATAACAGTTTTATTGAGATAATTTACAAACCATACCAGTCACCCTTCTAAAGTATATAGTTCAGTTCGTGTGGATCTTTCAATCCTTTTAGGTAGATCCTAGAAGTGGAATTGCTGGGTTATATGGTAACACTCCTTAACATTTTGAGGAACTGTCAAAATATGTTCCAAAGTGATTGCACCATTTTATATTCCTACTATCAATGCATGAGGATCTAATTTTTTCATATCCTTGCCAACACTTGTTACTGTGCCTTCTATAGCCATCCTATTGGGTATGAAGTGGTCTCTCATTGTGGTTTTGATGGCATTTCTCTAATGACTAATGATGTCGAATAGTTTTCATGTTATTGGCCATTTACGTATCCTCTCTAAAGAAATGTTTATCGACATCCCTTGCCCATTTAAAAATAGGGTTGTCTTTTTATTGTTGTTATCCCTATCTTTAACTGGCTAGCATACTTTCTCATTCTTAATCTTCCCCCTTCTCGTTTTCACACATCCCTAGCACTACATTTCTTCCATTTATATAATCTTATCATAGCTGGAATTGGTCTACCTTCCCATGAGACTGTTGATTATGAGAGAGTAGAGATATGTCTTATTCACTATTTTGCTATTGGTACACAGTTTATGCTTTTGGTCCAATACTTTGCACGGTTTAGGCTTCCTGGCACATACCAAGCACTCAACGAACATTTGTTGAATTATATTTAATTTGATGTTCATCTTGTTTCTCCTGTTGTGTCAAGAGGGGTGCTGTCTCCACTGAAAATGTTTTAGGGATCACCTTCTGACCATGTGCACCCTTATCTCCCACTGGTTGAGGGTTGTTCCTGGGGATATTAGTTCTCATGCATATCTGATGAATGGCTGCAGCTTCCAGTGTGGGAAGATGCCTGTGGTGCAATACACTTGAAGTGCATGCGTGGCTGTTGGGGTAAAGGGACCCAGTCAACTGAATTTTAAAATACGATAACATTGCTCCCATTGCTTGAACACATTCCACCATCACTATCACTCTTCAGCTGGCTGACTACCTCCTATCCATCCTTAAAAATGTGGCTCAAACCCGATATTTCCTCCTAGAAACTGTGAGGTGGGCTGACCCGCATTTGTGCCCCTTGCATTCAGTGTCTACTCTGCTCTTACCACGCTGTATTTGTCTTTTATTTACTTATCCTGTACCCCCAAACATAAGGCTATAAGCCTTCTTGTTGCCTCAGCAACTAGCATATACTAGATGCCCAATAAATACTTACAGGAAGAAAGGAAGTAAAGATAAAAAAAAGTTTTGAAAAAATAGAATTAGATGATGATTTAGTCTGCTTGGGCTGTTATGACAAAATAACATAAATTGGGTAGCATAAATAACAATTTATTTCTCATAGTTCTGGAGGCTAGAAAGTCTAAGATCAAGGTGCTAACAAATTTGGTGTCTGGTGAGCCCTATTCCTGGTTTGTAGATGGCTGCCTTCTTGCTGTCTCTTCACATGGCCAAAAGAGAGAACTTTCTTGTGTCTCTTCTTATAAGGGCACTAATTTCATTTATGAGGGCTCTGCTCTCACAACCTGATTACCTCCCAGAGGCCCCACCTCCAAATACCATCGCATTGAGGATTGTGGCTTCAACATATCAATTTTAGGGAGACACAAATCTAGTCTGTAGCAGATGGAAAGTAGAAAAGTGGATGGAAAAAGGTAACAGTAAAAAACAAAAAGGTGGAAAGAACAGTATTAATTCCAAAGATACATGGTAAGGAAAACAAGTAAAATGTCATTCCGAGTTATGGTCTATGTAATAATGGACACTTGAAGTGAGCAATGGATCAATGAATTAACAGTAAATTACAGCTGACCCTTGAACAAGGGTTTGGACTGCATGGGTCCACTTATACCCGACTTTTTCTCAATAAATACTGTAAGTGTATTTTCCTCATGATTTCCTTAATAACATTTTCTTTCCTCTAGCTTACTTTATTGTAATAATGCAGTATGTAATACATTTAACATACAAAACATGTTAATTGACCTACCTGTAAGGATTTTTGGGGAGTCAGAAGTTATACGCAGATTTCTAATTGTGCTGGGGGTCTGTGTCTCTAACCGTGCTGTTCAAGGGTCAACTGTGGTTCTAAATGCTTATTCTAAGGCAAGAGATCAGGAGAAAGCTGAGAAGCTGGGCCAGCTTGTTGATTTTCCTGGAAGGCTGTGGTTGATTTAAAATCCATCTAGCTTAGCTCATAGCTGGTGAAGACATAATTCATAATTCTGATGCACTCATATGTATCAGACACTGTGCTCTCTCCACTAGAGGAACTAACAGTTCACTCAGAGACAGAGAATATACTGACTCCTATAGGGTGAACTAACACAGCCAACAATTATCACATGCAAAGCACTATGCTAGGTGCATAAAAATACCTGGCTGAACCTACTGAAGAGCCCTGCAGGGATGGGTAAACAGGTTCAGAGACGTTAGGTAACTTCCCATGGTTCACATTAAGTCCTGACACGGACACTCTAGCCTAACTTCTCTGTACTTTTTTCCCACTACTCACTTAACCTGCATTTCACATTCATCCTTTTGTTCTGTGATGCAACAAAACTAACTCATGTGGGCCAGGCATCCTATTAGGCACGGGCAACAGGTACTGCAGGGAAGCCACAGTTGCAGTCCAGGCCCCCCGAGAGCTGAACATGTCTGAGAACAGATGCTAGCAGATAATGTGCGGTGTGTAAAGAGTTAGAAAGGGGGAACTGTGGGGTGCTGACCTGGGCAAGCAGTTCACGGTGACCTTTCTGAAGAAGTGAAGACTCATTAGGAGTTAGCAAAGGAAAATTGGAACTAACGGGGAGGAAAAGCGGGCCAGGCGATGGAATATATGCAGACAGAGAGAAGGTACATTTGAGGAATGGGCTGGAGAGGTCAGTGGGGGCCAATTCACGAAGAGCCTTGTACTCACATTTGGGACTTAACCCTAAAGCAATTAGAAGCTACAACTTCTAATTCACAAAATTCCTTCCCCACAGCAAAAGAAAGAAATCACTTAATTCTAAATCACTTCAAAGGGATAATTGGTTTGAATTAAACTTCCCTGGTCTGCCACAGCAGATGCAGGATGCTATGAGATTGGATCCCACAGGCACCTGAGTAAAAAGGCTGCTTTCCTCAAAACTATCAATTACCAAGCCCTGCTGCCTCAACATCACTGTGAACTGTCCCCAGGAAGGAATGTTGAGAGCTTGGGAAGACAGGTCCAACCCTGGCTCTTGGGCTAACAGCTAAATTAGTTAAGTCAGTTATACCACACCTTTGCCAGTTATAACTGATACAATGTATCCTTCCTCCATCTCAAGATAACTGCCTCCTCCCTTCCTCCAGCTCTCAGGCAGTCTCGGTGGGGCACACTGCTCTATCCTCCCTCTTCCCTCTTCCCCAGCCGCTTATCCCACAAAGAATCAGAAGAACATCCCTTGTAAAATCCTGTAAGTCAGGAAAGAGTTTTTTTTTTCAAAACTCTTACACCAGGTACTAGATTTATTGGGGTGATCACTTCGTAAGTTCATCTATATGTCTAATCCCTATGTTGTACACCAGAAATTAATATTATATTGTATGTCTACTGTAACTGAAAAACATTATTAAAAAATTCTTATACCAGGAAGGCAGTGTTCTGGGAAGAGTATAGGAAAAGCCACTACAGTTAAGTAAAACTAGTAAATGAAGTGATGATCTAGTGAAATGGGCAAGACAGCCTTTGGAGCCCATTAAGACAACAGAAGAGAATGGAAACATATGGAAAACACAAATCACTGATAGTAAAATAATTTTATTTGTTGTTTTTTTTTAAAAAGGTAGCATTTCACATATAAATTTAGACTCAAGATTACAGTGTATATTTGCCAAAAAGAACATCCCTGAAGGAGGGACAGACTTAGAGCTCAAATGAGCACAGGGACACACACTCCATGGGGAGTTCGGGTGGAAGTACTTTAAAACTTCGCAATGTGATTCCCTGTTCCTCAACTCTGCCACCAAGGCTTGTGGCCTGTAAGATAACCCACAACCATCGCTTTGGGACAGCAGCTTTTAGCTCATGGGAATAGGAAATATCTTCTAGGAACGAAAGCACAAAGGTCAATGATCCAGAGTTCCCACAACAATCATTTTTTATCTGCAGCAACAATATATGACAGGTGAAGAGTTCATTTTTATAGTTTAAAAGTTCTTTTAAGGAGGGCTAGAGAACACAAAATGCAGTCATAAAGAGAATGTATACAATTAAATGAGCTAAAATGAAAAAATGATTCTCTCCATGTTACAAATACCTCTATGGGATAAGGCCCAGGAAAAAGACCCATTCCAGTCTGGGATTCCTTTCCCATATAAAGAGTTTGGCACAACCTACAAAATGTCATGAGACTGACAGGACAGTCAGCTGAAAGGTTGCTGGAAGTGGTCCCATGACTTTTCTGTCTGGCTTGAACACCGTCTACACAAAAGGTGGCTTAACAAGCTGCACACACTCGGGCCTAACCATGTGGCAAACAATTTCAGGAAAGTTAACCTTAAGGGAAAAAAGTCCAGATGAAACAGGTTGCTCATAGCCACAGACTAACTCTGTCATCCTCTCATGGAAGATTAAATCCACTGGCTGCCCAGGAAGACTGTGGTATTCTGATCTCAAAGTTGAAGAACGTTGATTTTAGCATCTCAGGGCCAAGAAGAAAGGAGACGAAGATGACCAAAGATGCTTTCTAAGTTACTCTGTTCCACACCATGTGGGCTCCCGATAAACAATAATGAAGAGAATCAGTGTGCTGGTAACCATGATAGCCTAGAATTTGGCCTTTAAACAGAGGTACTGGAGCAATGAATATACTGCAAATCCAGTTTTAAAAATAAAAACTTCCTGCAGTTATGATACAATACTGTGCAGTGAACAGCTAGAAATTGTATGCTGCTATTTCCGGTTAAAGTCCTGTCCTGCTCTTGGCCAGAGCTGAGAGGTGACATATAAGGAGTTGTCTGTGGCTAGAAACCAGGCACCTTAGTCAAACATGGCCTGGGGCAGTGACGCAGACAGTCATCACTCAAAGGAGAAGGACGCAGGGCCCTAGAGCTTGGTTTGAAGTAAAGGTTTCATCTCTCTCCGAACTTCAAACTAAGCTCTATCTCTGAGCCTGCTAATAAACCAGTGATTAAGAATCGCTAGGAGGGATTTATGGTTGAGTGGCAAGGTGCATGTCCCAGCAGGCCACCAACCTGACTGAAGGAAAACAAAAAGGTGCAAATCGTATCAAGTAAATGGTTGCTCAAGTGGAAGATCATTTCCTGGGGAACTTAGGCAGACTAGATGCTAATCACACGATGAACGCTGGGACTGGACCAGGAAGACAGCCTGGGTCCCAGGTGTAATGAGTCTTCTTTACACTTACCACATCCTGGCTGTCTTCTCGCTGGCCTCCTCTCTCTCGAATGGCTGAGCACACATTTCCCCAGGGACCAATGTAAACATTATTCAATAGATCTCAGCTTAGAAAACACAGCTTGTTATGTATTTAGTGTTTAACATTCCAGTGCAGGCAGTATTTTAGCATCAGACTTTTCCCTCATTCATGAGTACCAGTATGAAAAGAAACACACACAGCATACTTGATAAAAACGGCGGCTGAAAAGACCATTTGGGGGCCAGACAGCTGGCTTTATCCTGGAATCAGCTGATGAGCCAGGACTACCACAGGAGAGGCAGAACAGACAGCTTGGAGAGTCATATAACCAATGTTCCCAGTTAACCCCTTGGGCCGCATCTTGATATGGGAGAACATTTCCACCTCTTGCATCAACCTATGCTCTCCTTCTTTTGGATAGTGCTCTCTCCGGAGGGTTCAAAAGCCTCCTTAGAGAGGAGAGGAGAGCTCTTTCTTCCAGTCCTACCATCTGAATACTTCAAAGCACAAGAGGAGTCCATAAACATGCTAGGGATGTTGCTGCCAAAGTAGATCTTACTGTTAGAAGCAATGGCCTGGTACCTTCTTAGCTCCAGATACTCCGGGGTCAATTTGTGCTGTGTGGGGTCAAATAAGAGCAAAAACGTCAGGACACTGGTGCAGCTGTCATCTCTATCTTCCTTTACACACGTTTTCCCTACTGCTCTCCTGAGTACCGTCACTCAAGTCTGAATTGTTGCCGATGACCCTCTCTCGCTCTGAAGTGTGGCTACCACATTAACAACTATATTCCAGGCTTGAAGTTCCTCAGCAAGCTCCTGTCCTAATGTAGAAGCAGCTGTTCACTTTTTAATTAAAAAAAAGGGGAGGGATGGGAAGGATTTTTAGAGAACAATGAATAATAACTCACAAAGTAATGATAAAAACAAACAGTTCTGTAGTGACCTGGGGCCGATAAAGGACTTTCATAAACACTTTCTCATTTCATTTAGCTGAACTGAACCTGGAATCAGCCTAGAATTTCTGCCGGCTCTCTTGAGAAGTGAACATGTCAATGGATGAGAGTGGTGGAGCTCCAAAGGAACGGTCTGGTCTCATAATCTAATTGTCAACCATCTGTGATTGTGCTTTTCTTGACTGCATTCCAGGACTGGAAAAGATCTCAAGAAATCACCTGATCTGGCCTCTTGCCTCTACCCAGAAGCTGGATGTTTAAACTGTTTGTGATGGTCAGATGCTCGTCAATCACCAGATCTCTCTCCCTGTCACAGTGTTTCGTTTTGTTTAAATTGTGCTGTTAAGACATATCCAACCAAAATCTCTCTGGGTTTGATTAAAACTCATTCATTTCCTCCGATCCTTAAAACATACTCCTCCAAAGACCCCTGAGAACCTTCCCTATGATCTACTCCTCATCTCAAGTCCCAGCCCGTCCTCCAGCAAAAAGTCATCTTGTCCTTCACAGACCTCTGACGTCTTCCACTCACTGGATCTACACCTCCTCTGGTTGACTCATACCCTCTGCTGAAATACTGCCATTGAATCTGGTCACAGTGCATAACCAAATTGTTTCCTGAAGCCTTATTAACGTAGGTCAATATCTGAAGAGCATTTTTCAAAGAGGCATAAAACTACTGCCCCTTTCAGCATAAGGCTGACCTCAATGACGAGGTCTTGATACTTGTGCCCAGCCAGCTTCTTCTATGCAGATTTGGACTGCTAGTTTTATAAACTCAAGTTTCTCATCTTGCTTTCATCTCGACCAAACTCCATTCTGTTTCTATAGAGCTGTGTCCGTCAACACATTAAGTTTACTTCTGATTTTATACTGGATTTCAAAGTACTGATACCTCTCATTCTGTCAACCTATCATGTCTTATCATTTCTTCTGAATACAGATTAAGTTGTTCCTTTCTAAATCGAAGGAGTTTAAGCCCTATCTATACCTTAAATCTTGACTCTAATCCTTCAAATGTATCATACATCTTAGCAATCTCTTTCAGTCCCAATCTACTCTACAACTAACCTTATAAACACTGGTCATCTCCATCCCTTCTCAAAATACCACAGGGGCTCTAGCTGTCTCTTAAATAAATTCTGCTAAGTAGGCTTGCACTCACTAGACCTAATCTTACCCCAGTCCCTACACAAAAATTGGTCACCTATACATCACCTAACCTTTCTCAAGTTATTACACGTGAAATTCCTCATGCCTAGAACATGTTTTAAATCCAGTAAACAAGGAGTACACAACTGAAGGCATTTGGAAACATGTGCGTGGGCTGGGGGTGGTGCTGTTAAAATAAGTGGTAAGCACTAATGACATTTAGTCGGCAAGGGCTAGGGATGCAAAATGTCCAGTAAAGCATGAGACATTCTTCAACAATGAACAAGTATCTCACTCCAAAATGCCAGGAATGTCTATGATGAGAAACATTGCTTTCAACAAGCTTAGCACCTACCCAAAAAAGCTACCTTATCTGGGAAACAATTCTAAGCAAACTTTACTCTTATCATTCTTGTTATTTCACAAGTCCCTCAACTTTCCTGATTATTGAGCTCTTATATAACAATACACATGAATGGCTATAAGGCATTATGTTTATACTGGTTCCCCACTTTTATAAGGAAATATACAAAATTCTCTATCCAATGAGCGTGCAATATGTTTGGCTAAGCGTTGGCTGGGTCTAGAGGGTATGAGGGTAACTACCCCTCCTTGACACTGGATAAAATTGCCTCTATGACATTAAAATGCCCCCACGAGGGAAAACAAACCCAAGCTCTATTACTAGGAGGGTGGCATGGACAGCTAGTCACCTTATTTGAGGTGGCATATTTATGTGCAGCATAATACTCGGCATCTGCTTTTGTCTTCTCTCGGGCCAGGAATGCGGCATCTAGCAAACAAAACAAGAGTCAGGATGTTCAAAACAGGAAAGTTGTAATCCATTTCCTCAGCTGGGTACAAGTTCAAACTCTACCTCAAGCAGGAGTCCCTTTCACCACTGCCTGACATTTGGATCACTTACTTTACTTTAAAACACAAGCAGTTTTCAAACCCAAGACCCCAGACAGCTTTCTCAAAGGGGAATACTCTCGTCAATGCTGAATAACTCTCAGCTCATCTGAGTCCACTTTGTTTTCCACCTAAAGTTGCTCCTTCTTTCCTCCACTCCCTCATTCCCCAAAGCCTCACAGCCAGGGCTCTTGGCTTCAGGTGAAATCACTGAGCCCAGATATGAAAGCTCTGCTCTATTTACTGTATTGCCTCCACTTCCTCCGAATCTGATCCAGAATCAGTTAATACAGAATGATAGGAAGCAGCACTACATAAGCAAAAGAGGTTGAATGTTTGGTCTTTAAGACCGTGAGCTAAGAACAGCAATGTCTCACTATGTGAAATCAAGGCGTTTGAGAGCCTCTGTGAAAACCTGGGCTTTTTTTTTCTCAGCAATTTGTTGTTGCTGGTGGATGGGTAAAAAGAAATGGGTTGTGGTGGGGTTTCTCATCTTGTACATTCTTTACAATTGATTATGGGTAATTATCATACTGCCTGGGAACTAAGTGGGAGCTAACAGGCCCCAATTTAAAGATAGAAAATGAAAGGCGGAGTTACCTATAGTCATAAACTAAACCAAGAGCTCAATATGTTATGGCAATTTTTAAAAAATTTGTCCAGACTATCAGGCCAGCCACTTTCTGCAGACTAGGGTCTTCCTACCTACCACTGTCAAGAACCTGATCTCTGAGGCAGGGGAGGATAAGGGCAGTCAGAGCTTCTTTTTCCCCTGATGTACCTTCAATTTCAGAAATGCGCTTTTCAGTTTCCTTCTCCATCACTTTCTGCTGAAACCGAATTTTTGCCACTTGTGCAATCTTCTCTGCTTCTATGATTATACACAAAAGAAGACACACTAAAAAAAATTTCCCCATTTCCGCTGGTACTTAGAATCAGCAGCATACAATCTAACATTTAATTAGTCTAACATTTAATTACATAAGTTGTTATGGGCTAATGGTTTCATTAAGTTTTATCTATCCAGAATATAAACAACTCAAAAGAAAAAAAAGGGAATTTATTTCCTATTCCACTGTTCCATTTTGACAGTGCTAATTTTTTGGGAAGGGGGAGTATAAAAGGTAACAGTTCCAGTATTTCAAGGGATTAAACAGCAATGGCCCATAAACTAATGGGAAAAAAATACTTCATGAAAGTATTCAGAACAAAAACAGAGCAATGTAAATGTATGGCAAGATAAGACAATTATATAATGTGGCAGGAGGAAGAAAGAATAAGGAAGATAGGTTAAACCAGGAGAGGTCTTCTGGAAGAAATCTTAAAATAATGGACATGATCTAGGAGGACATGGCAGAAGGCGTAAACAAAGACAAAAAGTACTAATGAGCAAGTCACAAGGAAGAGGTGATACAGAGCCAGGTGACGAGAATACATCAAAAAATAAAATAGAAAGAGCTACAAGACCCGTTTTGAGTAGCAGGCTAAGGAATTTAGCTTTAATATACTCAGGATCAACGGTTAAGTTACCACCAGGGAAGTGACACAATGAAAATAGTATCAGAGGAGGAATATTCTGACTGCTGTGGAAGATGAAAGAGAAAGCAGGATAATCCATCTGAGAATGTGAAAATAAGTGTTGGGAGTGAACGAGTTAGCTTCATCAGGCAATCATAGGCAAGGAAAACGAGAAACACCCTTAGTAAACGTCTGTCCTAAACAAAGGAGCCAAGACCAGAAAAGAAAGACTCTATTACTTTCATTTCAATCACTGCAATTCTTGAAGAGCAATTCTTAATTCTTTTCAGCCAAAGACGGTCGGTATTTCAACATATCTCTAGCCCCTAGGGGAAGTACATAAAGGAAAGCAAATTTCCAAGTGGTTTCTTCTTTCCAGAAGACATATCCTTTATTAACTACTCTAGGGCATACTTCTCTGTTACCCCCATCAGCATAAAAATTGATCTATATCGTACCATCCTAAAACAGACTACTATGTTCAACCTGACTAGAAATTTATCTATAAGCAGAAACTCAAGATAAAACTGGAATAAAAGGTGAAGGATCTGAAGCCTACAGCTAGAACCCAGAGAATGATGTTTCAACACAAGAGAACTGTTGCCATAATCCCACTTAACACTGCTCTCTGACATGTGGTGGTAAACCCATAAAGAGCAGGACCAAACTTCTAGCTCTAGAAAAATAGTGGAGTAGACTAATGATAAAAGTCTTCAGATAACATTTTAAAGTCCTAGATAAAATACAGCAAATTTGTTTTTTAATGTATGGCTGAGATCCTAAGAAAGAATGAGAGATCTTCAAGAGGCATAAGCAAAGGGAGAGCTGAGAGCCTGTATGGCGGCATACCTAGGGGTGGTTATTAGACAAGTAAGGGAGAAGGACTTGGGTTATTGCCCAGGCAGGGCCAGCAGATGAGGCCTTGAGATGTTTGAACTGAGAGTCCTGTATAAAACCGAGACAGCTAAAGGACCACAGTTCCAGTGAGACTAAACAAACTATCCATCAGCCCAGCGAGAAGCTTTTCTCTACCTAGACACATCACAATGAAACTGAAGAACACCCAAAGACAGAGAGAAAAATCTTAAAAGTGAGAAGAGAATAAGAGGCCAAACAAAAGTGAAATGATATTGCCAAAGTAACAAAGACTAGTAAGTTTAGTTAAGCTTAGAACAATAGGCTAAACTACCACTCAAGAAAAAACTAAAGCAATTCAGACCAAGGAAAACTGAGTAAGTTTTCCACTCCTTAGCCTTCACTGAAAAAAAATTAGCAGAAAAAATGAATTGCCAGAAGCAATGGAGAGGAAAAAAAATTACATAACACACGTAAAATCAAAATGATTATTTATTGTAAGATTCAATGATGATGATGGTAATAGGGAAATACAAACAACATGAACTCAAATACTAGGCAGCAATATGAAAAACTGGGAGAGTGATAAGAATTAAAGCATTCCAAGGTATTGTTCAAGAAGTGGATGGAAAGAATGATTAACTGTAGACTTTGTCAAGTCAGGTATGCTTAACAATTTACAGGTAACAACTAGTTACACATTCTAGAAATTGAATGTGAAACTTCCAATCAACTAAAGAAAAGAATAAAGAAAATCCAATCAATTTAATACCAATCAGAAAAGAGGGAAAAAAGAAGCAGAGAGAGAAAAAAAAAATGCATGGTCAACAGCACGAAATTTAAGGATATAAAAAAATCCAAACATAGCAGTAACCACAATAAATATAAAAAGACTAAACTCACCAGTTAAAAGACAGATTCTCACATTGGATAAGATAACAAAATCCAGCTATATGCTGTTTATAAGAGACATACCTAAAACATAATGACATAGAAAAGTTGAAAGTAAAAGGATGCGAAAAGATACATCAAGAAAATAACTAACCAAGAGAAATCTGGCATAGCTAAATTATCATCAGACAAAATAGATCTTAAGCCAAAAAAAACATGTTTGAGATAAAGACAGTTATTACATAACAGGCACAATTCTCCAGGGAGATGTAACATTCCTGAACCTAATGGTCTTAAGGATATAGCCCCAAAATACATAAAGAAAAAACATGCAGGTCAAAATATCCATGGTTGTAGTGGGAGATTTTAAACACGCCTCTCATTAACTGATAGCTCAAGGTGGCAAAAATTAGAAGAATACAGAAGATGTGAACACCACCATTAATAAGCCCGATTTAATGGATATACAGAGAAACCTGCATCCAACATATAGTGGATATACATTCAATCTTTTCAAGCACATATAGAACATTTGCCAAAAAAGGACCACATACTGACAAGGTCACAAAACAAATTTTAACAAATACTTAAGAATCCATATAACAGATCCTATTTTCTGACTATAATGCAATAACATTGGAGAGCAACAAAAAGGTAGCCTCCTGAAAATTCATTCAACCAAAAGGTGAAAAATATATTTTTAATAATTCATGAGTCAAAAAAGAAATCATAATGAAAATGTTTTTAAATAGTTAAAACTGAACGCTAATAATAAACTTGAGATATACCTAAAGCAGAACTTACTAGAAAATTAGAAGAAAACAATAAGTGAACTCAAAAAGGTAGAAGAAATAATGTGTAAATAATAAAATTGAAAAGAAAATAACAATAGCACCAACCAAATTTAGTTCTCTGAATAAATAAGACAGGCCTCTGGCAAAACTGATCCAGCAAAACAAAAGGCACAAATAAACAATATTAGAATTAAAAAGGGAGCATACAGATTTGGTAGAGTTTTAAAAAGTAAAAAAATTCTACAAACAAATTTATGCCCCCAAATCCGAAATATCAGATAAAACTGACAATTTTCTAGAAAAATATAACTACTGACATAAAAAGAAACAAATACCTGAACAAACCTATAGCCAATACAGAAATTAAATCAGTAGGTTAATTACCAGAAAAAAAACAAATAAGCACACAAAAAAGCACAAATCCACTAGACCAAGACAGTTTTTACAAGTGAGTTCTGTCAAACCTACAAAGAGGAGATAATACATATTTTATACAAAATGTTCCAGAACACAGAAAAAGAAGAAATGTTATCCAACTCATTTTGAGGCTAGTGTAACCATGATACAAAAAAACCTGAGCATAAGAGTACGAAGAAAAAAAAATTGTAAGCTGATCTTATTTATGAAAATAAAAGCAAACATTTTAAAGAAATCAGCAAACCATATAATGAAATGCTTTGGGATGAACTGTCTATATTATGCTCCAGTGGGTTTATTCCAGAAGACAAAATAATTCAGTAATAGAAAATCTATTAATATAATTAACCAATTAACAACTTTAAAAAGAAAAATTATATGGTCATCTCAACAGATAGATATAAAAAAAATTCTAAGTTTTCACAGCTATTCATGATAAAAACTCTTGGCAAGCAAGTAGCAGAAAGAAACTTCGTTAACTCAATAACAGTTACAAACAGCCAACATCACTGGGACTCTTTAAACCTAGGAACAAGCCAAGAATGCCTGTTAACATCTTTCTTTTCAACAAGGCATAGCCTAAAGAAGTAAAATATAACTAAAAGGTGAGGGACTACCAAGAAAAAACCAGGACTGTCTAATCTGAAGATAATATGACTACTCACATGGGAAATCCAAGAGACTATTAAAAATAGCAGATTTTTGAGCAAGACTGCTACAAAACAAAACAGCATATCTATACAAAAGCAAACCCGTTAGAAAAAGTACCTTCAGAAAAGAGTCTATTTATAATAGCAAACTTGAGGAATATATAGAAATAAATCTCTAATAAAGAATGTACAAAAACTTGAGGAAGAAAATTATAATTTTTTGAAAGACATTTCTCATAAATGGAGAAATATAACAGATTTATAAGACTCAATATCAAATTTTGTAATTCTCTCCAAAGTGATGTATAGAGGTAATGTGATTTCAACCAAAATCCTAATACCATATTTTACAGAACTTGAGGAGCTGGTTCTAAAATTTATATGGAGGGAAAAAGGGCCTAAGACAGTCTAAGACAATTTTAGGAATAGTTAGGAACCATTAAGAGGAATAGTTAAGGAGAAAGCAAGACTTAACATAAAAGTTACAATAATTAAGACAAGGCAATACTGGAGAAGGCCCCAGACAAAGAAATTGAAACAAAATAGAGACCCTAGCAACAGAACAAATCCTATATAGAATCTTGTTATATGATAGATGTGGCATTACAAACAAGTAGAGGAAATAATGAACTATTCAATAAATAGTCTAAAGAAAACTGGCTTGCCATTTGAAAAAAATAAAACTGACTTCCTATGTCACACTAAACACTAAAATAAATTCCCAATGGATTCAATATCTAAATATGAAAAGCAAAATTTTAATTAAAACTTTTAGAATAAAATTATTACTTTGAAGCTAAGAAGAATTCTTAAATAAGACAGGAAAAGCGCAAACCAGAAAGGAAAAGACTGATGAATTTGATTACATGAAAATTAAGTATGTGTGTCAAAAACATTATGAAGTTCAAAGACAAGCTACAAGTTGAGAAGATATCTGCAATGCATAAACCTGAGAAGAGACTGATATCCAGAAGATATAAAGGCAATTCACGTATTACCAAAAAAAAAAAAAAAAGAGAGAGAGAGAAATCTGAATGACCAATAAATAACATTTAACAATACTAGTAATCAGAAATTTAATTGAAATTATGTGATACCATGTCCACCCTCAAACTGGCATAAACTTTAAAAAGCCTGACAACTCTAAAGGTTGAGGAGGATTGCAGAAATGGGACTTCAATATGGCAGCATAGAAACTGGAACTTAAACAGTTCTGAAGAGAAGGTAGAATGGAGAACAATTTGGTAATATGTTGCAAATTTGAAAGTGTGTATATTCCATGACCCAGTAATTCTACTTTGAGATTTGTATTCTAGAGGACTCTGTGGGAAAGCACACTTTATTTTTGTTATTTCAATCTGTTATAAGCCAATATTTTATAAATTATAATAAAAATGAATTACTAGGAAAAATATTTTTAAAAGAAAGCACAAATTCCAGTTTTTTTTAAAATGAGAATCAACAGACATAAAATTACTGTGTAAAAATGCTGTAAGAACTTCTATATACCCATTCTCAATTTCTGTACTCATTTTACTGTGGATCAAAACCAAAAAGCTGGTGGTGAGGCACTGACCCAGCTATGTGGAGTAGCACAACTCTAGGAAAACTCTTGTATGTGTGCACAGAGACCTGGATAAGGGCATCACTGCAGCACTCTTTGTAATAAGGAAAAGATAGAAACCACCTAACTCTTCATTAATAATCAATCAGAATAAACTGAGGTTCACTCCTAGAATAAAATACACAGTAGTTAAAAATGAACTAGATCTACATGTCTTCGTATGACTAAAACTCAATGGTTTAAAAAGGCAAGTTATGAAATAAAAGGTAGAGCTTAAAGTCATTTTTATAATGTAAAATAATTCTGTGAACTGTTTATTTTTACATACTTATAGCTAAAGTATAAAAACATGGGCAGAAAAGATATACATCAACTTCAGAATGGAAGCTACACTAAGACAGGTCAAAAAATAAGACCAGGAAAGGATACAAAGGAGGCTTCAAAGGGATATATAAACTTATTCTTAAAAGAAAATATGATCTGAAGGAAATATGGCAAAATGTTAATCTTTCATTATACTGTTTTCTGTACATTCCTGCATATTTGAAGTATTTAATGGAAAATTTCTTAAACTTTCAGTATCCCAAGGAAGAAACAACTGGGAGCCTAACACACAGTACCCTAGAGTTTTAGGGAAGTCACTGTGATTCAAAATCAGCTATAAGCGATCCTGATGTACTTTCAGAGATAGCGATATCTATCCAGATAAAACTAGGTGCATGTCAATAGCAAGGATGCATACTATAATCCTGAGCTTTGGCCAAAAACTTCCCTATTCTTAATCTATATAAACAAAAACTTTACTCCAGAGGCTAGAGCAGTCCTTAAACCTCACCCACTTTCCCCATCCTTGAAAAAGATAAAAGCAGCAGCCAAGGACATGGTGGAGTCTAAACAATTAAGTACTGGCCTGATGTGCTTTTAAAGCCTTTAGGACATCTGACTATGCCAGAATTTCCAGAATTCTCTACTATGAATGACGCGATCTTATTTGAGTCCCATCAATATCTAACATGAGGTCGACAAAGAACAGGACAAACTCATAACACACGTACTTAGAGACATCCATTTCAGAAAGAAATCCAAGTACCTATAATAGCCTTTTTCCTCTCTGTCTCAGCTTCTTTCTCCACCACCTTTTGTTTCTGGGTAGCTATTAGAAGTTTTGTCTTCTCAGCCTCCCTGTGGAGCAAAATATTATAAAAATTAGAAATGATGTGCAGTCACATGCAGTAATTCTGACCCTACAGTAGGTCTTCAACAAGAACTTTCTGATCCATTAAGGTAGACAAGAGAGGTGTTACTTTTTTACATGTATGAATCTGAGATTGAAAGGTTCGATGATTTGCCCAAAGTTATCCAGAGGCAGGAATAAAATTTAGTACATTTCAATTTTAAACTGACCTTTTCCTCTAACTGTATCATAGAAAGGCACGAGATCTGGAAGGATCTGGAGTAGTATATAAATGCTTCTTTTGCTGTTAAGCCTCCAGCTAGCCCATACAGCACCTCTGGGCTAATAAGCAAAAGGCACCAACCTCTGAGCAGTTACAGTTCCTTAGGTGCATGGTTTGGTAAGAAGAATGGAGCTGGATTCCAGCCCTCCCTCAGGCAGACACCCTTATTTGCTGTACAAAAGATATAACTAGGTGGCAGTCTATTAGGTGGTGAACTGGGGCTCAATGTAAGGAAATTTTTTCTAAGAATCTGAGCTTTCTAATAATGGAAATGACTGGCCTATCACTAAGCATGTGCACAAGGCAAGAATGGTATTAAAAAAATACTATTTGGTGGGAGGTTAGACTGGATGATACCAAGGTGGCTTTCATTCTAGAATTCCAATAGTCTATAAAATCAAGAAATATCCAGAATTATCTGAAAAGTAATTCCAATGATTTCCCTAAAATATCTATCCCAAAGCATTCCTCCTGCCAACATTGATAAAGACATAAAATGACATTCTAGATACTATGAGGTATTTGAGGGCAGAGAACACAGTATTCATCTTTCTATCACGAGAATCCATCATATTTAAACCCTAGACCATATTGAGCCTTTAATAAATATTTTTTCTATAAATTGATCAGACCCATGATCTATCCAGTCTGGCACTCTGTGCTTTGTAGTTTTAAAAAAAGAGTTCCTTTTCTACAATGAAAAAAGGAAAAATAAAACTATATACAATGGAAGATATAGACTTGAGAACAATAAGGATTCAGAAGTATATCACTCCATAAAGAAGTATTATTATTACATTTTGGATCTCTGTATTTATATATGTTCTATTCTATACTTTTGCAAGGTTACTATTCCAGCATTTCTTATTTTTCCTCTTAACAAATCAGCCAAATTTCCTAAAGGCTTTTTTACCTGTCACATGTGAGTAACATTGCCATTTCAACTGTAATAGGTCCTCCCCTAAAGGGGGTCTTCTAAAACACTTAGAAACAAACTTCCTGTCAAGCAAGTAGCTTCTCATACCCAGTCAGCCCTGGACATAAAAGAGACTACTACCAGGAGTCAACTCAGGCAAAGCTTCCAAGGCAAATTATAAAGATCCGGGTCTAAATTTAGATACACGATCACATACAAACCAAACTTTATACCAATATGGTGTCTATTCGTACCATTATAACACAGTAACAAAATACAAGCACTCTCTTCAACTTTAACGACTAGGACTCTTTCTCTCCTCTATTAATATTTAATTCAAGGTATTCTTCACAACCAAATTATAGCTCCTTAGGCTTCCGACAACAGTTCTACAGCAAAATGAACCCTTAGCCACTGAAGCTGCTCCTGAAATGTCCATATGTAAAGAGAAAACTATTAAGAATCTAGTGAGAATTAAGACACCAGAATAGGCAATATTACTATAATTAAGTATGGAAGACAGACATATACTGAACCCCAGAGTGTAATATCTCACACAAGTTTCCTCTAGACTGGTATATTAATATGTAGATAGCCCTATATAAAATATTGGGATCCCATGCATATTACTCACATTAACTCAAAATTTCTTCTTATGGCTTCTGGGATTTTGGGTTTTGTAACACGCACAGCCTAAAAAATAAAAGTGAAAAATCCAAAATATATTTGAAAAATAAATCTTCAAACTAAATCTACATAAGAGCTCCTCAAATGAAACTAATAAAACAACTTTGACAGAGCTGCTGCCTACTAATACACGTGAGGATCCCATTAGAAAATCTACTTTTCCTGT